AGACTACAAGTGACCGGGGTTTTGGTCAAGGCGAGCACTTTCAGGCACCACATTGCCTCGCCCCTCCGTATCCTGATTCCCTATTGGTACGGAGGCTCCGTCCGAGGAAAGGAAGGACGGAGAGAGGAACAAGGGGGACACGCGAGGAGCGAAGGCAACGAGAGCCGGTCTGTGCGGCCTATGTGGATACCTCCGACATTGTACTTTAAAGCCTTGTTGTTTTCAGGACTAACGTCTGCGTTAGCGTGCGAGTATGTCCCTTCTACCTCTTTCCTGCTCCTGCGCCCTTGCCAACGCACCGAATCTTCAATCGCCGGGCTCAGAGCAGAGATGTAGACATGCACATGCAAGTAAGGCGGATCCTCCACCTTCACCGAGTTGAAACACAAGGGATCCCATCCCCTGTTTTCTCTGCCTAACTCGTCTACATATTACCGCTTTCTCTGTCGAGCCCGTCTTGCCCCCAAGCTTCCTCCGGCGCCCCGCCTCCCGACTCACTCCTGATCTCACTCCTCTCTACTGCCGCCCCGGACCTCGCCCTTCCTTTAAATAGGCACGTGGTTCTCGAGCTTCACCTCCCAGATCCTCTCCGCCAGCATCTTGTAGCCCTCGTCCGTTGGGTGCACCCCGTCCCACCCGCGGGGGATCTGCAAGTCTCGCAGGTCGGCCAGGTGGCAGTCAATCTTTGCCGTCGCGCAGGCCTCCGCCACCTTCTCCGTGCCGTAGTCTGCCGCCTTCTCCAAGCCACCGATGTAGAAGAAGCCCATCCAGATGACATGGGCCACTCCGTCTTCGTGCATTTGCTCCAGCAGGTCGGAGCCGATGCTCACGGCCTCGTCGATTTGAAGCCTGCAGGCGTCGTCCATAGACTCGCAATCGCTGCGTTTGGAGATGACATCGTTCCCGCCCCCATCCATGATGATGGTGGTAGGCACCACCGTCTTGTCGAGCTCTGCGTATTCTGCTGGAATGCTCTCGGTCCACCCCTCATGCAGCGAGGCACCGACGATGGCGATGTTCTCGATCTCATGCCCTGCCCATTCCTATCGGTACGCAACAAGGGGGAGGAAAATGCGATCAAGAGTGACTGGTGAGTAGGAAAAGGCTGAGGAGCTCGACAATTTTCAAGGTATGACATCCCCATGCGTTTACAAGGGAGTCACCACCCATATTGGTATGCACAGGCGAGGAACACGTTTGTGAAAAAATTCCTCTTCATCGGGCGTACCTGAAGCCAATTATTGACCTTGCTCCCCCCGGCAAACATGGAGTCACCAATCATGACAGTGCGGGCCATGGCCATAGGCACAGCGGCGAAGAGGACGGAGGCGATGGAGGTAGAGAAGCGCATGATTAGGAAAAGATGTGACTGCGTATGCGCGTAATGGGATTGAAGGCGAGCATAGAAAGGAAGCATAAAAAAAGAAGCCGAGTGAATGATGCGGATGTCAACCAGCCTTTGAAAGGGTGGGGGCGAAGAAATCAAGTTGCCTACGGAAACGCTTTCAAATATGACGTCTGAGATCGAGCTGCCTTGACAAGATTTTAGCATTCCATAAAAAGTATATGCCTCATCATTACATTGCCCGGAATTTATGCATGGTATCCTTGCATTTCCAAACATGAAGTCATGCACACGCGCGTAACCGACAGTCCTGGTGCCGCCAGCAATATGTGAAACCGCTCAACGGCTATCCCAACGCCCCGAGCCGTTAGGAACCGTTACTCAGGGTTATGCCACCACGGTCACAAAAGCCCTCGTTTCGCAGTCCCTAACTCAGCAACAAGGTGATCATACCTGTTGGACTGTGTTTAATTCTGAACAAATTTGAAGGCCTTACTTTGTTACGGCATGGTGCGTGATGTGCGGGAAAATGCTTCGTGTCCTCGAGACGAGAACGGAGCTATGTTGTCTACATGCGACACTTGCAAACGTCACGTACTTTTCACTGGTCAACGCTTCACCACATTCTTAATAAAGAAAGCCTTTAATGCCAGTTAATGCCATTCAAAACCGCGGAAACGCCTTTCATATACGTGTGAATATCGATCCTCTTGTCCGCACGGTTATTTTACTTTATTGCCATCGTTCATGCGCCCGCATCTATATACCTGACTATTGCTTGCAAAGCCACTGCCGCATGACATTGGCTGGCACTGTAAGGACACCTGGTTTTCTCGACTCCTCATCTGCGGGTATTAATCCCTTCTCTGACAAAACCAAGCGCGCCAAAGCTTGCCGCGTCTCTGGCACCTGTCCGTGCGCCGCTCCCATTCTTTCCTTCCCCATCCCATCTTGCCTGGGTCCACCGCCCGCTCCTCGCGCTCCCCGGACGTCCGAGCCCGTGATCAAGACCAGGTCCTGCACGTCGGGGTCCTTGGTCCCCGCTGCCGCCTTCAACTGATGCCGGAAGTCCGCTACCAACTCGCCCACGGAGAAGTCCACTGCAGCGCGCACGAGTTGGAACGAGAGTCGGGACAGGTCTTTCTCCCACAGGGTGTCGAGGGGCGTGGTCATGAGCACCTGGGCACGGACCCCGTCCTGAAAAACCCGCAGTGCCTGCGCGTGTCGCCCGTGCCTCTCAAGGATGGAGATGAGGACGGTGAAGCTGACGATGTCTGGGGTCACGGGGGGCGGGGGCGGGAGAGAGCGTGGGAGCTGCTGCCCGCGTCTGTTATTTTTCCCAAAAGACAGGGTCCCCGCGGCGTACTTAGCGGGGGAATTGCCGCACATCTCCTCGTAGAGGGCCAGGGCGTCGTCGGCGACCGAAGTCGAGGAAGAGGGGGAGGAAGGGGGTGAGGACGGGGAGGAAAGAGGCTGCCCGTTCCCGGGCAAGTCACAATCCGCGGCCCGCAACGCCTGGAGAACCACATTGTAGACGTACAGGTCGGGCACGAGGCCCTCTTCCCTCATCCTCACGTACAGAGGCATCCCCTCCCGCGCGGCTGCCCCCCCGGCCAACCCGCAGGCCCGGATTGCGGAGGTGTAGTGCCGGACGTTCCGGCGCCGGATGGAGGCGAGCACTCCCAAGGCCTCCTCCCACCGGCCCATGGAGGCGAGGACGTGCAAAAGCTGCCCGTGCGTAATGTCGTCGGGTTCGATACCGAGCCGGCGCATGTCCTCCACGAGCCGGAGGGCCATGCCCCAGTCCCGGCCCCGCTCGCAGGCCTTGGCGGCCGCCGTGTAGACGAAGTTGTTCCGGTGCGCGGGCGGGCAGGCTTGGAGGAGGGACCAGACCCGGGCCGTGGTCATGGGCCGTCGCGGGGCCGGGGGGGTGGACGCTCGCATTGCCGCCGACGTGTCCGAGGCCCCCGAAGGCCCCGAAGGCGTTGGCGCCCTGCCCTCGGGGACGACGTCGTTCCCACACGCCTGGACTAAGGCCCGGTAGACCTGCGCCGGCGCCTCCATCCCTCGCTCCTGCATCTCCTCGAAGAGCCGCAAGGCCGTCTCCCCCCAGCCCGCGTTGGGCCCCCCCCGTGCGCAGGCCTCGATGGCCGCCGCGTAGGCGACCGCGTCCGGCGTGACCTCTCCCCCGCCCTCCCTCGCTTCCTTCATCAGCTCCAGGTAGTAAAGCGCCTTCTTCACCTGGGACGGTCGGGCCTTGGAGCAAGCCTGGATGAGGCTGGTGTAAGTGATGACATCAGGCCGGAGGTTCTTCCGCTGCAGAGTCTGCAGAACCCGCATGGCCTCTTTCCACTGCCCCGCCTGAGCGAGGGCGGCCAAGAGGGAGTTGTACGTTACCAGGGAGGGAAGGATCCGCCCGCCCTCCCCTTCCAGCTCCTTGACCAGGCGCTGCGCGTCCCGGGGCCGGTGGCCCTTGGCGCAGGCGGAGATGAGGGTGTTGTAAGTGATGAGGTCGGGAAGGAGGGCGGGCAGGGAGCGCATTTCTGCCAGGAGTAGCAGGGCT